GCTAAAACTTCACCTCTTGTTCTTATCATACATACAGTTCGTCGCTTTATGAGTTAGTTTCTCTTTTGTGTTATAATATGTGAGGCAGCGGCGGAAATCAGCTACTGCAACATGTTACCGCTAGAGGCCGCTGTGGTGTAACATTAACAAGGAGTCGGTCTTCAGGTGAGTTGTCTACAAACCCTGGACAAACGTGGTACATTCATTACAAACTCAGTTCTGGAGTCGTTGCCGTGACATGTATGCTAAGTATGGGGAAAATAAACCAAAACAAAACTATGTAGGAACCAAAAAAGGACCATTTTAAATGTCTCCGAATGTTTTGTTGTCCCCCGATCCTCAGCTGTCCTGGATCCAGTTGCCCCAAACTGCCCTGCGACAGCTTCAGCAAGTGCTTTGTCTCTCTTCCTCCCTCTTTTATATTTAAAAGGCTTTATCCCAGCTGCAGGGTGCAACATGAAAGAATGTGATAATGAACATAAACCAAATCAGACCAATATAGGGTTACGTTTGTTACATAGTTGTCCTGCACTTTTCAAACATTGTGTGACTGTCAGGTTTGTATTTGACAACAACAAAATATATTTTTTTTCCAGTTAGCTAGTCAGCCAACAGATGAAATGAAATGAAATGGAAATGAAATATAATGAACATTTGTGAATGAAATGCCCCTGAATCTCAGTCAGTGAGGCCATAAATTTCTCTTTTAGGAAAAAAACAACAACAACAACAAAAAAAACACTTCTGTTAGTGCCACACTACACTGTTAGAAATAAAGGTTCTGTGCAGGTACATTTTTCATTCAACAAGGTACAAACAATGTAAATGTACCCTCAAAGGTACTACAGTGGTTTTAAGGTCTAATTGTGAACCTTAAATAAGTTTTCCCCAGGTGAAAAGTACATATTTGTACCTTTTCATAACCTAAACCATAAAACAGAACAATAAAATAAAAAGCCTGGAGACGAGATGGGGTGTGTGGAGTCAGTACAACTTGTTATGTCAAAAACTGAAAAATTACAAAAATGGAGATACAGGTTTTTCTTCCGACAGCAGAGTAAAGATAAGTATGCAGAGTAAATGTGCTTTGTGTTACATGTATAGCGTTACACATAAATCTATGTCATATGTAATATGGCTTATAATGTTTTCTGACTTTTCTTCAGTGATCTCAGTGATCTAGGGCTGGGTGCTTGGGGGGCGTGGGTGCTGGAGCCTATCCCAGCAGTCATTGGGCAAAAAGCAGGACACACCCTGGACAGGTCATCAGTCCATCATAGGGTTGACACACAGACACATACGTTCACACACACATTCACACCCAGGGGCGATTTAGTGTGTCCAATCAGCCTGACTGCATGTCTTTGGACTGGGGGGGGAAACCAGAGCACCTGGAGGAAACCCACGCAGACATGGGGAGAACATGCAAACTCCACACAGAAAGGACCCTGGTCACCAGGCCGGGAATCTGCAGGATGGTAGATCTCCAGGACCAGGATTGGGCCCCCCTGCTTTTTACTGTCAGTTAAAAGCTTAAGTAGTAGTTGATCTTTGCAGCTGAACGATGTAATTTGATTTATTGTGTAGAAAGTTTTGCCCCGGAGCTCATCATGACCTGCAGATTCCGTTATGATAAACAATGTCATTGTTGTTGTTTATGAGAAACATTGATATTATAGATGTCCAATGCAAAAAGTGCTGCATTGATGCAGGAATCTGCTACTGGACAAAGCATGGTTTGTACCCCCAACAGATCCAGTATTTGTATGTGTTGGCCCCAGTCTCCAATCTGTGATGAAACACTCTGTTCAAGGAATAATTCGGTAGCTGAGAAGTGAGATACTATTAAATAGATAATATTTTGGTGTTTCATTTTTGACCAACTTCTAACCAACTGCTTAACAATTAGTCCATCCATCCATCCATCATCTAAACCGCTTATCCTTCTGGGTCGCGGTGGGGTGCTGGAGCCTATCCCAGCTGTCATTGGGTGGAAGGCAGGATACACCCTGGACAGGTCTTAACAATTAGTCTCTGTATGAAATTTTGAACCCTCAAATCAAGAATTTTAAAATTCAACGATCAGTTTTAATGCTAAATATTTTTTAGAGGTCAGTGGACATCACTAGTTATTGGCTTTTTTTCTTGTTGTGAAAGAACATAAACACAAAGGTTAACACTGGAATTTTATTATTATTATTTTTTAATTGACAAAATGGAACTCATAGATGTGAGTTCCTGCTCATCTCTCTACTGCCTGTTCCTTCTGCATAAAGGAACCAATTCGGTCATGCTGTCTTCATCACTGTATTCCCAGTGTCATTTGGTCTCACTGTCCATATGACTAGGACCCCTGCTCCTCCTAAACCTCCTGGCTGGAGCAGCAGGGGACAGCATAAGTAGCCAGTCAAGATCGGTGTGTTCCTCTTGAGCTGGATGTCTGGACTAGTTGCAGATCCTGTGTGAACTAGTGTGCCCCTCACCATCCACAGTGTTTCCTGTGCTGCATGCTGTGGGTGGAGAGATGGGGAATATCTAACATAGCTTAGTGCTTTTTTTTTAAATGCACACTTTCGTTCTTTGTAAGTTCTTTCTAAAGTTATTCACAGATACCACATAGGTCACCACATATAAACATGCAGAGTGAAAACACTGGGTTGTCTGTGGTATGGAAAATAACACCAGCACATTCTTGGCATTCTAGTGGTGAAGAAACCACCATATATAATTATAAGAGGCAAATGTTTAAAACGAGTCAGTAAAATGTTTATAGCAAATCTATGTTTAGTTTGTGTGTTCTGCAACTACATTCCTAAAAAAGGGTTTTTTTAGTAAAGGGAGTGATTATGTATAGAACTATGACAACTCAAACGACCATTTGAATACATAGTTCTTTGAATGGTTCAATATTTCCTCTTCATTATGAAGACCTGTTGTATAAGGCTTTAAAGAATTTTAAAGAAGTAAAAACCATTGTTCTGTGTCGTACCAGAAAGGGTTGCATTATTGTTACAGTTGCATCTTAACTCTCTACTGCACAATGTTGCCTCAGGGCAACAAACCCATTTTCCTCACTTTACAATAACATTATATAATACATATTTCAAGACAACAACAAGGTTATGTATAGGGAAGACGTTGAGTAAATTAATAAAAAGCATGTATTTGGTCATACTGTCTCTTAGGCCACTTTTAAACTTTTTTTAACATTCAGTATCAATTTTATGTTATAAGATTTTGCAGAAATATGTTTGTTGCCTAGAAGCAATATTGTGTGAGAGTGGAATGGATTTAGCCAGTCACAAGCACATGACTTTATATCATTTCTTCTCATTGTTGCACAATGTTGCCTCAAGGTAACATACCCCAAAAGTACCCTCTCTTGCACACATAGTTTTTGAATTTAATAATCAGGTAAATTTATGCAAGAAAAGTGAATTTAACATTAAATAGAATTCTCTTCTAATGTGTACAGTAGAGGGTTAAGGTAGCTTGCATTCTAGCAAGAAGGGTGTAGTACAAAAAAAGCCCCATCTTTTAATTGCATTTTGTAATGAAAAAACAATTGGATTTGAAATGATCAAATTACTTATTGAAAGAAGAAAGTTATTCAACCCCAACTGGCCCTGTATAAAAAAAGTAATTGCCGCCTTTAGTTGCTCAACCACTGAACCCAAGTGAGTTGATAATTGAGATCAGTTAAACTAAGCACACCCAGGCTTGAATACTGCCAGCCCTGTAGAAACTGGTCATCACTTAAACCTTTCCAGCAACGTGAATGAGACTAAAATTCTTAAGAAGCACGTTATGCCATGATCAGTAGAAATTCCAAAAAGGATGAAAGTCACTGAAATATATCAGTCTGGAAAGGGTCACAAAGCCATTTCTAAGGCTCTAGGAGTCCAGTCTACCACAGAGCGAGCCATTATCCCCCATTATTTCCCCAAATGGAGAAAATATGGAACACTAGTGAATCTTCCCAGAAATGGCCATCCTACCAAAATTCCTCATACATGGTGATGGTAGTGTGAACGCTTTGCTGTTTCAGGGCCTGAGCGACATGCCGTAACTGACAAACCATGAGTTCTGTTTCCTCCCAGACACTCCTGAGGGTGAATGCACAGTCATCAGTCCATGATCTGAAGCTCAAGCACCACTAGGCTCTGCAGCAAGACAAGGATCTGAAAGATTTGTCCTCCCTCTCTCTCTACTCTTCTGGATAGGCTTTACACTAGATGTGATGATTTGATTGCAGCCTCAAAAAGCATTAGTGATGTCAGAAAGTGATGTTAGGTGATTAGCTCTAGATCACAAACACCACTTCAGCTCATTCCGGTGGTATTGGATGGAGCTTATTCACTCCAGAGAATACATTGTCACTGCTCCACAACCCACTGCTGACGCTTTGCATTGAGCATGGTGACCTTAGGCTCACGTGCTGTTCTGGAGTGTCCCATTGGCTTTTCTATGGAAATTACACAAGCTGAACACCTGTGTCTAATGAGTGCATCTTAAAGTCACTAAATTCAATTAGAATAGGTGTCTAGATACTTGTGAACACTGACCAATGTGGCACTACTTGTGCCTTTTATTAGTCAAAATATGATACGTGTATACTTTCATGAAGCATGTATCATATGGGAAAAAAAAAATAGTACATCACCCACCTCTGTTCAGAATATTTGTAACTAAAGTACTTTTCAAGTCAAGGTTTATTTATAAAGCACTTTTTACAAGAGGCATGAGCAAGCCAGAGGCGACAGTGGCAAGGAAAAACTCCCTTGGAGTAAGAGGAAGAAACCAAGAGGAACCCATCCTCCTCTGGTCAACCTCGGATAAAGAATGACATAGCTAATGAGATTAACAAGATACAAAGCTTAGAGCTTGAACACTTCAGAAATATTCTGAATGATCCAGGAGGAAGTAATGTAAAGTTAGTACCATTTCATAGGTTCTCAGTGAGAGATAGAGCTCATGATCAGTGCCAGATGCTGATGGCT